AAAAAAAAAACAAACTTTTCTTTAAAAATCTGCATAAATTAAATTCATTCAACATAGAAAGAGAATAGGAAATGAGAATGGATTTCATCAATTCGTAAAAGATTCATATAGAAAAGAGAAAACTAGAAAAAAACTAAAGAAAATTGTGTGACATTTATAAACAATCATCAGCTTTTATCTGCAGAAAAAGTGCAAATTTTATGATATAATATCACACATATATAATATAGTATTTAAAATTTGGTAAACACACCTCTACATTCTTCTTGTTTGAATTATGCTGCAATTTGTTTCCCACTTTTAAAAAATGATACATGGACTCTCAACAACTGAATAGGATTTATTTTGAAAAGTAGTAGCATTAGTGCTGTTAGTAGTAATTAACACATAATTGAACTGGTTTAGACTAACAAAGAATGAACACTATTTCTTTTTTGCTAATTGCAATCAGTTTCAAGCATAAAAATCTTGAAAAATATCACTTAGTTTGATTTGACAGTTCAAAGGAACTCTAATGTTGCATGTCAATTAATTTTGGCTGATCTTCCACAAGTTTTAAGAAAGGTTTTACTTTAAAGTTACTCTAAACATATACTTATCTGTATACAAAAAGCTCTTTTGGTAGAAGCAAAAATTAATTTTTACAATATGAAGATACTAACAGCAAAGAATACTTGTAATTTAATCATCAGGTTACTGAAATCCTAATAATTGTTGAGAATTCTAATTTGTTTCATGACTATTAATGATTTTTGGTCTTTTTATGTCATCAAAATCCTTTTTATTTAAAGTTAATTTAATCTTACATGCTTTTTGCATAATCCTATTTTGATTCTTATTATTAAACTAGTAATAGATTAGGTAAATTTACTCTGTTTGGTTTCTATTTCTCCTCTTCCCTATTCATAGAATTAACACAGCCTTCTTAGCAATTTTTGAGAAAGTACTTAGTATTATATTGTTTTCTGAAATATTGTCTTTTTATACTCGGAAGATAATATTCACCAGTAAATTTGCTATTATTAAGAAGTACTCACATTTTTTGGTTAGTATGACAGTAGAATCACTGGCTGCTCGGTCAATGAATGCCAAATGTTTTTTTATAAGGAAACAGCTAATATCACCATTACCATTTGAAATGTTTTAACTTTAAAAGCAACTTGAATAGTTAATCATGAAATTCCGTCATTTTATTTTTGAATAGTAGTTAATTCTTTTCATTTGTTGCAAAATTGATTGTACAACATATTAAGTTGTTTCTACTTTTGACTATAATAATGAACTGAATAGTCCTTTAGAACTTCTTGCTGATATTGATAGAATCAATTTCATATTGGTTTTTAGTTGTCATTTATTTTTTGAAGAATCAAGAGCCAAATATATCCTTATTGAAGCAATGACTATATGTTTATTTTGTTACATGTCTGTATATATTTCAGGTGCTGGTTCCAATAAACTCCTTTCAGACCCCACCTATTTGATTCTGTGTGTCTTGCATACAAACATAACAGTAATGACATGAACAAGATTTACAAAATACATAATTGATATATAAAACAATAAAAACAAAGCAATTGAGCAGAAACAACAAAGACAGTAAGAAAGCAAAGCAGGATTTTCAATTTTTAAATAGTATCTGTATTTTTTAAAAGTTCAACAGTACAATTATTGATCATACTTCAATCAATAAGTGTTTTTTTTTTTTTTTTGTATTTTTTGGGGGAAGTTTCAATTCCACTTTGAGCTTCAGTTTATTTTTTAAAATCTTTATTGGCATTTCATTTTTCTCTTTCTCAAAATAATATCTTGAAAACAAAAACACAAGCATTAAACAATATAATGTAAGTGGGATGCAAAAACAGATATAAGACACATCTATGCATACACCTTCATACATATATAGACAAGAAATCCATCTAATTCATATATGCATGTCAGTGGATAGATAAAACAGACATATTGATGTGTAATGATTGTAACAAAAAATATACATGATAAATGATAATAAAAAAAAGTTTTGTTTTGTTTTTCACAGGGTGAGTGTGGAATAGAGGAAGGTGGCTGAAAATTTTTTGCAGCATCAAGCAAAAATAGTGAAAGCAAATGATTGTAAACAAATTAAAAATGACAATGATGATGATGATGTGAAGTTGATTATTAAAAATTATCATCAAGAGAAAATTATTAAAACAAAAACAACATAGAAGTTAACTTGAGAGTGTACAGACAGCTCAAATTGTTACATGTAACATAATTTTTTGCCCTGCATTATTTTAATCTCAGCAAAATATCACAAAACTGAAGGTATTTTTGTTTTTGTTTTTTTAGGTTATGTGTTTAAAAGATTTTGTCTATTTTTAATGGTAAAATTGTTGGGCTTTGTAGTGGTAGTGGTGGAGGTATGAGTAGTTCAATAGAAAGAGCAGAGATAAAACTAAATATTTTTTGAAGAAATTAGAAACATTTCTATTCAAAACAAGAAAAATAGAAAATTAAATAATTAGATGACACCCCTTAAGTACTCTGTCATCACTGGATCATGTATTATAGAAAGAACCACTGAAAGAAATGATGCATTTAAATCCTTCTATACATTTCTTCAGAAAATGAATTTTAAATAACCAATGTTTCAGAATATTGAATAATAAAAATTCCACCTTTTAAGTTTACAAGTAAGATTATAAACAGTAAATAATGGTCATTTTTTTTCTTAATCATAATATTATCTTATATAATCATGATAATCTTTGGAAATTATTTCAAAGATGTTCTAGATGACCAACTTTTTATAACTATTTTTAAGAAGTAACATTTTTTTTATTGAAATAAAAGTGATTTAACCCCCCCCAAAAAAAAACATGGCGAAAGCAAACTTCATAGAAATATGATGATTTCTAAAAATATCTTCTAAATGATCTTTCTTTTCATTTTAGCTAAATAAAATAAAAGATAAAAAGAAAATTGTTAATATCTTGTTAAGACATTTATTTTCATTCAATCATTTAATTTTCAGAAAAAAGGCTTTCTTCATATCTTTAAAAAATATTTAAAACTATTCTGATATAAGTTCATTTTTTATCAATTTGTTTCAAATGTTTTAAATAATAAAAAAAAACAAATATAGTGAATTTAAGTCTTAGATAATAAGCTAATCTTTTTTGGATAAATGTTTATCCACCCCCCAAAAAAAGCTAAAATAAAAGAATCAGTATTTTGCAGAAATAAAATCTCAAAACAAATTTTCTTTTTAAAACATGCAGTATTCATTGTAAAGTGTGTTAACGCAAACTATTATTTATTATTTTCTTGTGGCTATCTTGCAAAATCTGTATTATAAAAAGGAAACATAGCCAGCAATTATCTCCACAAAAAAGGTTAGCTAATGAATTTCTCAAATCTATTTATGTTAAATAACTACTATGCCAATGAGAGAGAGAGAGCGAGAAAATGTATGTGTGTTATTAACTGACAGTTAAATAAATTTTTAAGTATTCTATAAGTATCAATGAATTTCTTTTAATTGCTCAATAATTTTTGAAAAATGTCTATAGTAATACTTTCTTTTATTTTTTCCTGAAGACTTAAAATGTAATTTACACATAAGCATCAAATGATTTTCATTTTAAACTTTAGTATGCTATTGTTTATTATTAAAAATAAAGTTGGTATTAACCAGCCAGTGTTGGTAAACATTTCAGTATCTAAATATGATAAATATACCATGTCAGATCTAGGTTATAATATCTGCTTTTGTTAGAAATATTTCCAACTTATTTGGTGATGTGAGATTTTATTATGTGAATTGAGGGTTGTTCATCATATTAGAAATAAATAGAATACTTATCAATATTTATTTTTTAATTTCTGATAAGAAAGATTACCATGATAGTATGAAGATATAAACTCAAAAAAGAAACAAGATGTTGAAAGTGGGGAAGAGATCAAAGAACAATCAAAAAATAAATTGAAAATATTGACAATTTTGATAATTTAAAAAAGAAAATAAGTATCATTTTTCTGTTAAGTGTTCATTCCTCCAAAATATTCAATGTTAATTTATGTGTATATAGCCATATTTAGTTTTATATATATTACACATATTGTATTGTATTAGTATGGCTGTATCTTCAAGGGTTGTATTGACCATTATATTTGCAGAGCCTATTTAAAGAACATATTTTTCTTTGTTGGCTGCTATTTTAATATCTGAATTCTAATAAATGTTCATAAACCAAAACTGAAAAGAATCTATTCTTCCCTTTTATAACTTGGATATTTGAAGCATTTATGAAACTCAATTATTGTTGTTTTATTTATGCATATTTTAAAGAATTATATTTCCTAAAACGATAAAAACAAGTTCTCATTAATAGAATCTCAGGTATTTATGCATCTTTCAAAATATTTTTGATATTCGCTAAGTTCAGCCCAATAAACACCGGAGCAATTGGAAGAGTAAATTGTCTTGCAATCAATCTTCCAATACTGTTTTTTTACTTGGGCTTGAACATGGACCACTGGCACAAGTGGGAAATATACAAATATTTGAACTATAGCTAGAGTGGGAAAATATAAAAATTGTTTTCAAAATATTTTTCCAATAAAATCAGAAAAAACAATGAAAAACTATTTTTTTTAAATTTTAAAATACTGTTAACTATTTAAAATTTTCACAAAGCAAAGATAATCTTTTATATTTATAATAGTAATCAATTTATATCTATTATGAAACATCTTCAAAATTTGGTTTCATTTGTTTTTCCCTCTTTCTAGACATACACATTATTTTAATTTTCATATCTTATTTAACATTGTATTTTCTCGATTTATTTAAAAATCTGTTTTTATTAATTAAGATTTAGTTTTGTTGAGTAAATTAACTATAAGTTTTGTTATATGAGTGTTGTCAATAAAAAATTGATTTGATTTTTTTTTTGGCTTATCAACGCTTTGTAGGTTATTTAAAATGAAAACATAACTCAGGCTGTAGGAGGTTGCTTACATTGCCCAGTATTCCCAAGTGGTCTCCCATCTAAGTACTGACTAGGCTCAACACTGCTTAACTTTGGTGATCAAATGAGAACCAGTGTTTTAAGCATGATTTGACTTATAAATGAGTGAATAAAGAAAAGTAAATTTGTCTTGGATAAGAATTAACAGAAAAATCCAGCTAAAACTTAAATAGATGTAAAATGTAAATATTAAAAAACTGATAATTATATGAGGGAACACTTTGCTATAAGTGAGAAATCTAATAGAGCATCTGACATCAAAGTAAGTATATTTGAAGCCTGAGTGCATTCAATTTCAATTTGAAACCTGAAAATCAGTCAAAATCTAATTTCTTATAAGTTCCTGGTGTCAAAACCCAGCAACAACACTATAATAGCAAATATAGAGTTTATGCAACAATCAGTTTTGTCATTGGTTCATCATTAAATATATTCATTTAGCTAATGTTATATCTTTCTGAAATTTAAGTATCAATTTTCTTTAATGTAATGTACTTTTCAAAAGAAGTTAAATTCCAACAACAATATTCAAACACAAGAAAATGAACAGCAGCATGAGTGTGATATAAACTTTTAAAATGAAGAAAATTTACAATTAAACACCTTAAGCAGTTAGAATTTCAGTATGTTGGGATATTATGGATTTTAAAATTGTAATATAAAGAATAATAAAATATAAACAGACCATGGGAATAACCAATTGCTGTTTCTAAAATAAAACTAAATATATTGAATTCAAAAAGACTAATTAAAGAGCTTAAATCACTTTGAGGTGAGTTATCAAAAGTAGTAGTAGTAGATAAGCATTTTTATTGGTACAGATTAAATGGGATTAGATAATAAATTTTAATGCTCTATGTTATGTATAGCACCACCAATATTACGAGATAAGCTACATCATCAAACCCTATTTTTGTTCACTTTCTGTTTCTCTCTTTTTATTTATATCTGAAGATTGATTTATTTTATTAGACCAATTCCATGAAGAATGTTCAGAATTCCTTTTATCTAAGAAGTTATGGCAATTACATTTGCTTTCTGATTTGCAGGAAAATCACAATTGTGATAAGATGTTAAGAATACTAGTCATTGTTGGAAGTAGTAATTTTAAAGAAAAATGATAAAGAAAATCATTACAAGTAATAAGAATAAATGTTTTAATAAATTTTCAACTTTGTTATCAATTAACTATGAAAGGCAAGTAACAAAAATATAAAATAAAAGAATAAAATTTAAAAAATGGAGAATGATAGAAATTGTGTTTTTGTCCTTTTAAACTTAACTCTTGTAAATATTGTAGAAGCAAAATATTTGTACATCAATCTGATTAAAAATGTAAAATAGAATGTAAAATTTTGTTCCAATTTTATATTTTGATATCATGAAAGTTGTTAAATCTAATAATAACAAATAAACAACAAATTAACTGAACATGAAAGTGGATTTGTTTACATTGAGACACTTCAGAACATCTACTTTCTTGTGAAAAATATTTAAGTTGTTTTCCTGTATTGAGAGAATTGAACAAAATTTAATAAGAAACTTTTAACAAATGATTTTTTATGGTTCAAAATAATGGATGATGTATTTTCAGATGATTTTTCCCTCTAAAACCTGTCACATAGAAACAAGAGATTATGTGTTGTGATTCCTTGAGTTATTTATTTAAATATTGAAAATAAATTCATTTCATGATGATTTTCTCATTAATGAATGTAAATCCATATAATGCATAAATAAATGCATATAAGTTAGCAGTAGGACAGAAATCCCCATCAATCTTGAATTTCATCATTCCCTAAATTTTTTTTAACTTAGTTCATAATAACAAAAAATATACCTCATCTTAGTTTGTTTTTGCCCTCAACCAATTGCTTTCTAGTTTATAGATCATGATAGTGTCAAACAACTACCAAAGATCAAACTTCTATTCACATAATTATGTCAGTCATTCCAACATAAGCAAACCAGAGGCCTGTAAACTGAATCTATAAGTCATTTTATTCTATCAACAGTAGACCAAACTTTCACCATCTTCACTTGCTATAGACAACAACAATAATGGAAATATTCTTTCAGTCTTACTTGGATATGTGAATGCAATATAAAATCAAGATAATTCTAGTTGTGCCAGCAGTAAGTTGAAGATTATTCCAGGAAGAAGATGAAAGAATAGCCAGATAAAACTTTAACAAGCCTTAAAAAAATAAAAAGACTAAGACACTAGGAAGATAATGATTTTACTTTCATGACATAATTATATATAAACATCAAGATTAAGAAAAAACTTCTGCTAAAAAGAATGAATAATAATTATAATAATATATCTACTAAAACAAATTACTCTGTAGCTAAAATATATTTCTTACAGTTGTCAAAGATTAAATCTATTTTTTTAGCCTGCTACTTTGGACCTATATAACCTGACCAAGTTGTTGATTACTAGATCTTAAAATGATCAAAATCTACCATTAATGATACAAGGAATAATTATAGAACATCACATAATATTTGATATATCAGGAACATTACTTTTTTTTATCACTGAACAGACAATGTAAAACAAAATCTGTTGTATTAATTTTACAATAACTGTGGCTTATAAAAAATGTATATGTACTTCAACTTAAAAGAAGAAAGTTACCTCTACACTATTAGAAAATATTTATTTCATTTCAATCTAACCTTATTTCTGTTTGAAAGCTCACATACTAAAATACATAAAAATTGTATTATATATAATTTATATTATTTTGATGACAATTTAACAGAAAATCATCAAAAATACAAAAGAGAAATAAGACAAAAGATTAAAAGGAAATGTGTTTCCTGTCAATGTCCCAATTTCACAAATAGTGTTCTGTTTTGTTGATGGTTTTTAAAAGAATATTAGAACACTGACAACTGGAGAAAGCAGAATTAAACATTACATTTGACATATTACTCAGGTGAACAGAATTATAACTGAACGTAAGTAAGAAAGCTGCCACTGGTTCTACATCTCAAGCTTTTAAATTTAGTAATTCAATAACCTTTAGCGTGTGGGATGTAAGGAGCTTTTTGTCTTTCTTTTTATGTTATTTCATCAAGAAAAACTTCAATATTAGTAAATTTGGTTCTGTGATTTATCAACCTTTATTGCTTACTCATTGATCAACTACAACAAATTTAATAAATGACACACTTGCCCCCCACCCCCAAAGTAACCCAATTCAGCTCAATTTCATTATACAATGAGTTATAAGAATGGTTGAGACACAATGTAATACTTTCTAACACTTGGCTGTCAAGGAATCACCTTTTTAAAATTTCTTTTCACAGATTTTATCATTCCTTTTGTCTTTCATGAAGAAATATACATTTAATATTTAAAATAGCAGATTGGGTTTTCAGCAACTAATAAAGATTTGTATTTAATTAACAAGAGATACAAAGACTGACTGTGATAAAACAAATTTGCTTTAAATGAAATTATTACAGATATTTCACTAAAAATCAATATTGTAAATACATTTCCATGACTATTTTCAATTCTTACAAAATAAATTCACTATTTTCGGTCATTATCTTTTAAAATATTTTCTGTGACAAGACATCATCAATTATGATAATGACTTGAAATGAACAAATTCTGCTTAGATTATACCTTTGAATATTACACCAAGCTTTGATAATTGGCATGCTTATTAAAATGTTGATTAAATTATTTAAATTAAAGGCAGGTATTCTTATTAAATGCCATCTAAATTTAGGAGAATATTCGATATAAATTAAAAATTTTGTATTCTGGGTTGGAAAAATAGGGGGAATTTTTTAAGAATATTGGTTGCCATGCTATAATTGCCTCCATTTTGCAAATATGGAGAAGACCTAGAATACTAAATATAATTGGACATTGTTTTACTTAAAACTATTTAAGTTATTTATAACAAATCTGTATTTACTAGCCAGAAAAAAAACCCCAAAACATTTACTAATTAAAGAAAACTGATCGGTGGCAAAACTGAGAAGAAAATATAGAGAATAAAAGAAGCTGTTCCCACGAAGTAAACCATAAAGATGGGTTGTTACATTTTTTAAAGCAAGAAACAAAGAAATATTTAAAAAAATGTTTAATATTGGCATAGAATGGAATGCTGAATTTAGAATGATGTAAAAAAAATAAAATAAATGGAAAATATGCAAGACATTTTTTGCTGCCATTTAAATCAAACTTGTTATTTCTAAGATCTTTTTAAAAAAATCTTATATTGTAAGGAAAAGATTAAAACTGTTATATAGAAGATTGAATTAAATCAGTCATTAGTGGAAGCACAATATGGAAGTTGGTGTTGGTATATGTGTGCAGTCATAGATTATTTTTATATATATATATATATATATATATATATATATATATATATATATATATAATTTCTGTATATATATATATATATATATATTATATTAAATTTATATATTTACAGAAATAGACATACAAAGACATGATGTACACACACATAATTTATATTATTCATGTAAAAAAAACAATGTGTGTGTATATATATATATATATATATATATATATATATATATATATATATATACACCAACAGTTATGAATGATTTACTTTGTATACTTATAAATTTATTCTATTGATTTTGTGAAATTCCTGACAATATTTTTGTCTGTCAGTAGAGATTAAATAGCTGCACCCTAAAAGTTAGTGAGGAATACACTTACTTTATGACAATTTGCTTAATTGGTTTGTATTTCTATTTGCTATGAATCTTCAAGGAAATCTTATGTCAGTTAACAGTGTAGAAAAAGCCATACCTCACATATTGATACATCTAGAATAAGCTTTTATTAATACATATAAATTGTTTGTTTTTAACAGTTCAGTCACAATGTTTGCAAATTAGTTATTTATATTCGGAGTTACTGAGTCAAATAATTCTCAAATGCAAATATTTAATTTTGACTTTAAATAGATTTTATTTTACTAGGCTATTTTTTGACACACACACACACACCAGCCAGTTACTTGATTACTTTCTCAGTGCCAAATTCAATGCTAAACCAATGAATATTGAAATTTTCTAGGAGGAAAC